GCCGATTTTTACAGCAACTGATGATTTTCAACTGAAGAAGCAATTCGCGTTTATCATAGCACGCCATGTGAGCCTCATCCCATGCACACAAATATTCAACAGAAGCAAAATTTCTGTTTGTGTTCTTGTCTACAATTCAGTATTATTGGTAGCCTGCATTGTTCACATTTCCTCTTTGCTTATGTGGTCAATGGTTTTTTTTCTCTTTGCTGAAGGGTTTAAGCATCGAGATTGATGATGACATAGCTGCTGATGAAAATGAGAAGGAGGCTTTGCAGGACATAATTTCTAATATTAAATTGAGTGAGGGGTACCTTACACTTGCACGAGATATTGAGGTCATGGAGCCAAAATCTCCAGAAGACATATATAAGGTTAACTTTTTTTTACCCAAATGTTATCTGCTGATTTCATGTTTCTACTTATTTCTTTGTTTATGGACCTGCTATTAATGATTAAAAAATGCATGCTAATTCATTAGGTTCATTTGATTGATGGCCGAGGGGCTACAAGCTCCAGTCTTGATTCCGCAAGACAGAATCTGGCGGCAACATTTGTCAATGCATTCGTGAATGCTGGATTTGGCCAGGTTAGTTATGCGAATTTCATCAAAGGTTTCCAGGGCAAGCAAGGTTCTCAACATTCTTGTTGCAGGATAAACTCATGACCACACCATCAGATTCTTCAAGCAGTGGTTCTTCTGGAAACTGGTTATTCAAGAACAAGGAACATGGGAAAGCTAGTGCAGCCGCTAGCCTGGTAGTGCAACTGCAACAGCTTGGTTTATTTCCATATACATGGCATTTAGGTTATTATGTGATCATGGTGCTGATAAAACAATCATTTTCAGGGAATGATTCTTCTGTGGGATTCTGATTCAGGACTTGCCCAACTTGACAAGTACCTGCACAGCAATGATATTCATGTTGTTGCTGGGGCTTTGCTAGGGATTGGAATTGTTTCTTGTGGTGTGAAGAGTGACTGTGATCCGGTATGTCCATCTTTTACCTCTCTCCACATCTTCTAAAACTTCTAATGCACAAGTCTCTGTACTGATGTTGTGACATCTTCTCCAGGCATTTGCTCTCATTTCTGAGTATTTCAGCAGGGATGAGTCAATTATACGAATTGGAGCAATCCTTGGTCTTGGTATTGCTTATGCTGGCTCCCAGAAAGAGGAGGTCAAATCCTTGGTCTTGGTCTTGCTATCCCACTGGTTAAAAAATATTAACCATGTGTTATTTTGTATTAACATGGTTTCCAAAAATTTCAGGTTAGAGAGAATCTCACAGCTTTTCTGACTGACTCCCAAGTACCTCTGGAGGTCTTGGTCTTCTCTGCCATCTCCTTAGGTTTGGTGTTCGTTGGTTCCTGTAATGAAGAGGTTGCACAGACAATCATATGCGTCTTAATGGAGCGTAGTGAACCAGAGCTTGCAGAGCCAATTATGCGCTTGCTTCCTGTTGCCCTTGGCCTTCTATATCTTGGAAAGCAGGTAATTTGATTGTATACTTATTCATACTCCCAAATTCTACATTTATGTTTTTATTGAGGTCAAGGACCGTATAGTACATATGAACATATTTACTGTGCATGACTGCCTTTCTACTGCTCTGTACATTGTTTCATGATTAATCTCACAACCAGTTTCTTGTTGATAATCTTTTGATGAGTTTGATAATCTTTTTCCATAATGAGTTTGATAATCTTTTGATGCTACTAAGCGATTATAGTTACCAGTTTTATGTATGCTTATCCTTGTTCATTTTGTCTATTATAATTGTTAATCTTAACTGCTCGCGGTCTACAAACTTGTAAGATGGATTCAATTTTCAGTACAAGAAGTTGTAAAATGCTCGAATCAGTGCATTGACTTGTGTAGTGCGTGTGAACCAAGGGTGAGAATAGTTCACATTTTGATTAATCAAATCATTTGAGTGCTGACTAGGATGCCATACCAGCAAGCATGTGAGTGCGCATAAGGCATGTGATCATTGCGAACAGTAACATGCCCTGCCGAAACTTGCCTCTTTCCTGATGGAGGCTACCTTCTCTTTGAATTATTTCATGCGACACGTGGGGCCCACTCATGCAGTGCGGCACCAATAGTGCAACCAGGCCACTGAGTTGTGAGATGAGGGATTTGCGCAGTGAGGAGGGAGATCAATCAGGATAAAGGAAACTGGAATTTGGTATGTATGGTGACTCATTCTGCTCATCATTATCAGGAACATCAGGCACTTCTATCAATCTTCTGCAAATTCCCCTAGCAAGATAATTTCCAAAAGGCATAGGAGAACTATCCCTATCTTTTCTGGATCACAAGATTTATGCATGCATTCAGCAGCATAACGCTCAGATTCGCTAACGTGGACTATTTTGGCCTTGGTTCGCGTGCACCATGCAAGTAGTTGAACTGGCTCAAATGTATTTTTAGTTCATTCATCCCAAGTACAATTTTATTCTTTTGGTAATTGCTTTTTTCTCTGGATTAAGCACTGTCAATTGTCTTGCATATGTAACATGCAACCTCTTCATGAACCTACACCGTCTGTTTTTAGCCAGTTTTATGTTAATATACTATTATACTCATTCTTGACTACTGTTCTCAGGAAAGTGTGGAGGCGACTGCAGAGGTTTCTAAAACCTTTGATGAGAAGATAAGGAATTATTGTGACGTGACATTGATGTCACTGGCATATGCTGGGACAGGGAACGTGCTTAAGGTGATTCCCAATTAACAGAAGAATTGTGCATAGGTTGTAGGATTACATTTTTTTAGCGCCTATTTGTTTTTGATGAATCTTCCCGTTTGATTTGCAGGTTCAGAAACTCCTTGGAATTTGCTCCGAGCATCTTGAGAAAGGTGAAACCCACCAAGGGCCAGCAGTTCTTGGAATCTCCCTAATTGCCATGGCTGAAGAATTAGGGGCGGAAATGGCTGTACGTTCCCTTGAGCGTCTTTTACAGTATGGCGAGCAGAATATTAGAAGGGCGGTTCCTCTAGCTCTGGGTTTGCTTTGCATATCCAATCCAAAGGTAACAGTTCTTTTTGTATACTAGTAGCATTAAATGTGTGCTATCTTCATGCCGTTGCACACAATCATTCAATTGAATTGTTGAGAAAGAACTATTTAATAGCATGCCGTGACAGTTAGTTTTGTACTCTGCTGCATCATCTATTTCAATTCAATACTCTTGAGAATGTGCTTTGTCAGATGACTATTATTTGATCCTGGTTATTCGAGGAAAATTAGTAGATTGTATCATTTGGCTAGATAAATATCTTATCTAGTTTTCTGATGTCTACATTTCTACCACTTGCCTGTCAATTAGGTAAATGTTATGGACACAATGAGTAGACTGAGCCATGATGCAGATGCGGAAGTTTCTATGGTTAGTAACCTCACCAGCAAAACCTACCATATTAATTTCTATGAGCATTGATTTTAATTTGATCAAACTGGTACATGCAGGCTGCAATCATCTCCCTGGGCTTGATAGGGGCTGGTACAAACAATGCCCGTATAGCTGGGATGCTTCGGAACCTCTCAAGTTATTATTACAAAGAAGCAGGACATCTGTTTTGTGTAAGTTCAAATCTAAAATAAACATTTTTATCTTTGTTTTGCCAGTTATTGTGATCTCATGCTGTTGCATTCAAGTTTCATATCAGTTCATTTCATTTGACTTCAGGTGAGGATTGCTCAAGGTCTTGTTCACCTTGGGAAGGGTTTGCTGACCCTTTCACCATATCACTCTGACCGGTTCCTTCTGTCCCCGTGAGTAACTTATAAAGTTGTTGAATCTCCTTCAATCTTATTGGAACCACATTTTCTAAGAGTATAAGTCCATTGTTCTTCACTTTTCAGCATAGCACTTGCTGGTCTTGTGACGGTTCTGCATGCCTGTCTTGACATGAAATCCATCATTCTGGGGAAGTACCATTACATGCTTTATATCCTTACCCTAGCTATGCAGGTATATATCTCGTTCAAAGATCTTGGTAGTGGGCATATAGCTAAACCAGTCACATGGATTCTCAGTTCTCTCTACTGTAACAGCCTAGGATGCTATTGACTGTGGATGAGGATCTCAAGCCCCTCTCTGTTCCGGTACGTGTTGGCCAAGCAGTTGATGTCGTCGGTCAGGCAGGTAGACCCAAGACAATCACTGGATTCCAGACACATTCAACGCCTGTATTACTTGCTGCAGGGGAGCGAGCAGAGCTGGCAACTGAAAAGTAAACTATAACATCTGGAGTACAATATTCTAATTTGTCAGTTGATCTTTGCTTATGCTTATGCTTATGCTCTTTCTATGTGCAGATATCTTCCACTGACACCAGTTCTTGAGGGTTTTGTGATCCTAAGGAAGAACCCAGAATACCATGAAGATTAAGGCCTGGAGTACTATGAAGAGGCTTGGATCAATATCTAATTGTCACACAAAGCGACGAACAAATAGCACGATGAAGACGATGCATACTAGATACGGTGAGGGCTGGGTTAACAGGAGTTCAGGTATAATGGGGCCAATATGACAGGAGAACTTTATAAGAACTAGGAATAGAATCGTTGGGTGTAATGGCATGGCCGAAAATGTTTTTGACTCGTTATACCAGAATGAAAATGACCCGAGAGTTTGTTGCCACGTCCATGTACATATGTACGACTACTCGCTTGTCTGATGTTCCCCTCCTTTTTTTTTTCTTTGGATTGATCGTTTTTTGTTTGGATCCTTTGTTACAGTGTCTAGCAGAAACGATGTACTTCATGTGATGTTTGCACTGAATACAGGATACAGCTGGGGATATCCTGATGGGTATACGCCAGCTACTACATGATGGCACTATGCTATCAAAGCTGCGCAATGCTTGTCCATATATGTTTGGACATCCTCCACGGCGTGTAATACCCAAAATACAAATTTACCTTTGAACTGTACTCGTTTATCTAATGTCATCGTTAACTGGTAATATACAAGCATGTCCTGAGAAATGAACAAATGAATTTCTGTTTTCCAGTCTTGTAAATTGCCAGTGCACTGTGCACAAGTGAGATCTGTGAAGACTGAAGAAGATACAACGTTTTGCTAACAAGAGCAAGCTGAATTAATGGCAGTTCTCAGATTATCACATCAAAGCTACTCTACTTTTAATCAGAAAAAAAAATGTTCAGATCAAGCTGCTGCTTCCATGGAGAGTACCACCTGAATACGTATCACCGAAAGGATTCGCCTGAGAAACACCAGCATACTGAGGCCACCCTGAGAATTGCTGTGGCATCCCTAACACCATTTGCTGCTGCTGCTCCTGCTGGAAATATTGCTGCTGCTGTGCCATCATCGACATCTGCACGTTGGTCGGTGGCGCGACACTTGTCGACATGGCGAACGGATCCCGAGGATGATCCATCTGGGCTCCTTGCTGCCTCCTTGATGCATCATCGTATAAGCTATCAAGCAGCAGCTTGTCGAACCCTCCAGCCTACAAGAGTCATTGAGTGCAAAAATTGGAAATGACTCTCAGTCACAGTATGATCAAAAGAATGGCATTGAGCAATAGAGAGTTCTTGAAATAAGCAATAGAGAGTTGTTGACTTACCAGCTTGCTCTCTGTCAGTAGTTGGTTGCTGCTGCTGTTGGTGGGTTCAGTGACCAACGCTAGCTCCCAACCTGACGATCCAAGCATGCCACCGAAGCCACTGCCTGCACCAGCAGATGTGTTGCTACCTGTTATAATCCAAAAGGATGTGATTATGCATGGATTTGGGAGAATTACTAGTGATTCTTGAATTATCTAATCGGGAGATAGTATAGGCAGATGCATGCTAATCACCTGGTGATACAATGGCCAGAGCCAGTGCATTGTTCTCTTCAAGCTGGGCGGCAGCAGGGTTCACTTCATTTAAACCCTGCAGTCCACCATAAATTGGATCAACTGCTACCATTTATTGCAGTAAATAGCTGATATGAATACAGTGTCATATTGCCAGGAGTTACCAATAAATCAGCGGTTGTGGTAGGTTCAGGTTCATCATCAACCTCAGCTGCAGGATGATGGGGTTCTTCTGGAGGTTCAGGTAAAATCTCCTCCTTAACAGGTTCTTCTAACACCTCAGGTAACGGTTGAGGAGGTTCTTCTTCCTTGTTTGGAATGAATTCAAGTTGTCGATATTCCTGTACAGTTTCATCAAGCCACTCAATCTTCTGTTCGATTTGTTTCGGGATTAAATACATTAGCTTAATGACTCACTACGGTCTTATTTGCAACAGGAGCAGTTCTAGGGGCTTCTCTGATGTACTCTTCCATTGTTCCAAGAAATGATGACGGCGGCTGAAGAAAGTACAGAGAAGTCCATTTGGCATTAGAATTCTCAGTGAAAACAAAACAATGATAGGCTAAGATAAAGGTAATTGCCTCTCTTAGGACTGGAAATTGGAAATTCCTGGCGAGTTCCAAACCCCTGCAGAGATCGTAGAAGTCGGACAGGCTTTTTGCCTGATATTCTAAAGCTCATTAGCTCTCCATATACATTTCTAGAGAATCAAAATGCATGCAACTCTACAGAATAATGAAAGCACACTGTGATTACGCGTACCAGATGTCCTGTTCTTCTGTAGATGTCGAAAGCTTTGATAGCATCAATTTTTGTCATGTCGAAGAACTACAACAGTTCAGAAATTTAATTTGATCAGGATCATATCCATTAGATCCATCGATGATTCAAATGCAGAGAAAGCTGGTAAATAATAAAAGGTACCATTTCGACAAGATTAATGATTCCATCATTGACTGCACAATAAATCTTGAAACTTTCCTTCAGCACCTGAGTAACATTTTCATTCATCATGAGCAAGAGCAATTCGGATAAATTGTTCTAACTAGTAGTATCTGAAGTTCAGATATCAGAATTAAGGTCAGCCACAATACCAGAGCTAATGCATACTGTATAAGATAGTTTCCAAATGCGGCTCCTTCAGGCTTCACACACAGTTACAGCATTGGTAAAAATGAGTCAGAAACTAATCTAGATCAAGCAGATAACATACCACAAAGTTAGGTGTGTACATTACCTGGCAGCCGACTAGCCGATAGAGCAGCTGCTGCAGTGCAGGAAGTTGCTCCAAGAGCTCATCCTTACCTAAGCTTCTAGTTCTACTCTGACCCTGAACATCATATTTCAATTGGTACATATTTCTCACCAAATGGAACAAACAAAACATCACAAGCAACAAGATCACTCATGCCGAACTATCACCACCGAATCATTCCCTGAAATTTAGAAGCCATAATCACAATTTCACAAACCTTTGGAGCTCCCTCTGCTGTCCTCAGACGCTCTGCTTCAATGTCGTATCTCAGAACTCTGAAGCACTCGAGCCTCTCCTCCAAGAACAGCGCGTACGTGCGCACCCACGCCGAGCAATCCCACGCTGAGCAAAGCAATTGGAGATTTCAAATTTGCAATCACAAAGAAATGAGAACGATCGGTGACAAAATTTTTTGAACCGATTGAGTTCATGTTAATCCAGTTCAGTTTATGCAGGAATTCAGATTGGATTGGGAGCTGACCCAGCGGGGTGGAGTCGTCCTTGAAGCTGGACATCTGCAGGCAATGGCCGCCGCGGCCGCGCCGGTAGCTGAGAAGCTCCTCCCGGAACGCGGCGTCGCCTTCCCGCAGCGCGCGGTGTATCACCACCAGCGTCTTGAGCGCCACCTGCATCACCATCCATCCACCCCCGTCGTCAGCAGATCACGCGGCGGCGAGCGATGAGGAAAACATTGGCGATGGCGGCGTACCACCCAGTTGTGCGTCTTGGAGAGACGGCGGGCGAGGGCGTGGACGCAGTAGGACACGTCGGCGAGCGGGCGGGCGCCGGACGCGGCGGCGATGATCTCTGCGGCGACGGCGACGGCAATCGAGTTAGCACGCGAGGTCGCGAGCGATGGATTGGGCGGCGGAGGCGAGGAGGAAGAAGAGGAGGAGAAGGAGGCGTACTGGAGAGGTGGCGCTCCTTGGGCGGGCGCTCGACGTGGTTGGTGGCCTTGACGACGGCGACGTCGAGGTCCTTGGAGTGCGCCCGGGCGAGGCCCACGGTGGTGGAGTCCTTGATCGCGCCGCACGCCTTGCGCCAGCTCTTCTGCACCGACGTCGTGCCCATCGTCTCCTCCTCCGCCGCCGCCGGCGATCCGCCGGTGCGAGTGCGTGCTGGTCGTCGTCGTCGTCGCCGCCGCGGCGAGGTCGAGTCGTGGCTCGCGAGTGGCTCCATTTTTTAAATTTTCGCCTCCATATATATATTTCTCATCCTCCCAAAATCACACTAAACTCCCTCACCTTTTCATTATTCCCAAACTTAGAACCATAAGCCATCCAAAATTGCAAGTGTTCTATCAGTCCAAAAATAATCGACGTTTAAGTAAAGATTGAAACTTTTGAAGATTTTGCCGTTGATGTTATACTAAAATAAATTTGTAAAATCTAGCAAATTTTACATTTTTCAAAGAAATTCCACACGTTTTTTTGTTTTTTTTAAAAGTAAACATATGAGTCATTATTATCAACATTTAAAAATTTGATCAAATCTTGTCCTAAAGTCAAATATTCATGAGCAGAGATAAAAAGGCTACGAAAAGTTGTGAAACTCACAGGGGTGTATTTGCGTATGAGAAACATTCTGGGATGATGGCACGACACAATCCGATAATGCGACGTGCGCAATTGATTCATAAACACTATTGGAATAATGGCGTGCCAGGCCGGCCGCCCATTGTAATTTGGAATTGGAATCAGTTGAAAAGATGCAATCTTAGACGATTTCTTCAGCTCACAAATCTGATCTGGTTGCAGTACAACCCTTGCTTACATCTGGTGTTCAGTGCTCATGCCAGCCATGCTCAACCAAGTGCTGCCATTAGCAAACAGCCATCTCGCCCTCAAATCTCAAATTTCAAGATGGGGCAATCACCAGTAGGATCAATACTAGCATGAATTGAGAAACAGTACATGGTAAATTTCAGATATTTGAACTCAGGTGAGACATGTGCAATCTTGCAAATACATGCCAATATATATATATATGAATCTGCTATGAAATGCATTTCAGTATGGGTTTCTTTCTTTTATCAGTTTATTATTATTACACAGTGCAATCACCACAATAGGGGAATCAATCAATCAATAAAATCATGTGCACTGTTGTTTTGTGGAGAAGGCATGTCAGCTGTAATCTAGTCTAACTCTACATTGTAGTACACCATGAATTTTGCTCCAATGTGCTTTTCACCACCTTGGCATAGGCACCTTTCTTTCAGCAAAATGTCCTTTTGTTGCTTTTAGAATTCCCAATTATAGAATAGGTGTGCTGCGACTTCCTTGTAGTTTAGCCATTAATATGTGCACCAACAGCGGAGATCGAATTTTTCAGATCCAAACTGATGGTCATTGTATACCAAACCTTGTAATGCTGGTTGTGTTTTCATAAGAAGACTCGTTTTCACCCTCCATTCTAACTTACGGTTGTCTGCATTGAATCCGAACGATCTGGGTTGTATATTTGTTGACTGCACTCTTCAACCACCTTTGTTGGAGCTTTTGCTTTAAGCAGCATCTCATTGTACTCTGCTTCTGGATCTGACAATGCTACAATAGCCCCGCCTGCCCCAATCGAAGCTTCTCCATTGTGCAGGACAACTGTTCTGATCACGATATTCAAGTCAAAAGTCTTGTTATATGAAAAGAATCCAACTGATCCTGAGTATATTCCTCTCGGACTAGTTTCAAGTGAATCAAGAATCTCCATGGATCTAACTTTCGGGGCCCCGGTCATTGAACCTCCTGGAAAGGCAGCCTTTACACAATCGACAGGGCTTAGGTCCGACATTTTGGTTCCACGAATGGTACTTACCATGGTATGTACAGTTTTATATGATTCCACATCCATGAGGCGAGGAACATGCACACTCCCAGGTTCACAAACCTTACCAAGATCGTTTCTTAGGAGGTCAACAATCATCAAGTTCTCAGCTTGATCTTTTTCACTGTTGAAACACATAAGAAAATATCAGTATTGTGAGGACTGGTAAAACCAAAATCATAATGTTTGAACAGTGAAAAAAGTATCTATCAGATACTTGCCTGTATTTCAACTGCAAACGTAGGCATTCATCTTCCTCTGGTGTTCTGCCACGTGCTATAGTACCTTTGATTGGCTTTGCTTCCAGAATTGCATTTCGGTCTAGTCGCAGAAACCTTTCAGGAGAAGAGCAACATATACTCAGGTTTTCTGAGGAGAAGTTAAGCCAAGCTGCATAAGGGGCTGGATTTTGTTTTCGCAATTTCAGGTAGAGTTTCAAAGCATCCATATAATCCGTTCTTCTCTTCATCTGAGTAGTTAAGCACAATTCATAGCTTTCTCCGTCTCTTATGTAATCCAGGCAACTCTGCACATCTCTGATATATTCATCTTTTGATTTCTCGATGACAAATCTTTGCTTATTCACACTGGATGATATGGTAAATGAGTTCCCATTGATCGACGAGTTTCCATTGATCGATAATCTTGGGGCCATGGCATCCATCCTGAGAAGCTTCTTCTCAGTATTTGCTAACCATAAACTATGTATTGAGTTTTGGTAATCTCCATCTCCATTACCAGAAGAATATTCATCATGTAATGATAAAATGTACACATCCCCATTGTTGTGATCAACCACAACTAGGTTATCAGCAAAGAAGAAGCATGCATCAGGGGTACTTGATTTTGCACTATTAGATGATGCATCGCATTCAACTTTAAGACCATATCTGGTACAAGTGGAAATGTAATGAACCATGTAAGAAAAAAGTGAAGCAACCATGTAAGTCAAACACGTGAAAGAGCACAGATTGAGAAAAAAAGTTGAATACTCCTTCATCCACAAAAAATAAAGCATATGTGTACTTACAAAAATCAAGCTAATTATGTTTTGAACAACAATAATCAGATTACACATAAACTTAGTGTACAAAACCTATAACAATAGATTCGTGTATTGCACCGTTTTGTAGCTATTAACAATAAATTTTGTGATAACTCAATGGTCAAATTTAATTCTGAAGACTATGCCAAATCAAAACAAGCCCTATAAAAGTGGACGGAAGGAGTAACAAACTACGCATATCCAGGAAAAAACAGTGGACATGTTAATTTTAAAAAATAAGCTAGCTGTGGATAAAACAAGACAGTACAACATATAATAACCAATTAACTATGCATATATATCCAATACAAGTTACAAAAGAGCATATGAATTGCAAAAACAAATCTGCATACCCTATGTATCCAACAAATCCACCATGGAAGTCAAATGGAAGTCCTTCATAATCCTTTTCAATGTATTGAATGGATTGCATCTCCTGTGGTGTAAATTAGTTGGAATTATAAAGCTTTAAACAACACAAACACATATAGCTAGATAGAGTCTGCTTAGCTGATAAGCTCAAGGATAGGATAATGTGCAGAATACAATTATACTGAGATGCCCAGAACAAAACAACATGTTTTCCCCCAACATTTCCGATAATAGTCAAACACATCATTGTGCTGGCATATGTGAATGGACCGAGATGACTCATACGTGCTGGTGAGAAATTTGCACTCGGACTTCCATAACCCACTTTCTTATAGCACAGCAGTTGGTCTCCTACTTCTAAGTAGCATAAAAGTTCTTATTTATGAACTAGCAAAATCAATCTGACTACATAATTGAATATAGCTCTTATAAAAAAAAAGTGGTCTCCTATCTACAAATGACATAAAACAAACTTCATATTTATGCACTAGCAAAATGAAAGTATGAAACTGACTACATAATTGAATATAGTACCAGAATACAAGGTTAGATTAAAATGTGAAGTTCTATATCTAGGTCCTAGGATACATAGATTTCAACCTATACCTTGTCAAGGAAATCCAAGAAACCATCCTTGAGAAAGTTTCTGACAGTACAACCATAAGCATCTCGAATAGTAAGGTTTCCTCCACAATTGGCTCTAGAACGAAATAGGAGGAATCAGAAATAACATGAAGGTTTATATAAATACATAGAGAATGTTTTTCTTCTGTTTCAGGAAAGTGCCTTCCTACCGTTGACTGGCAAGGTGAAATGTCATTTGCTTCCAAAGGGGCCCGCCCTTGCCGCCCATGAATGAAAATCGTGCCCTATTCTGCAAGTAGCACCACATCACAACTTTGAAGAAAAAACCTCTCAACTCATAAAAGTGGATGCATTGCCTTCATGAGGGGGAGAAAATGACAGGATAACAGTGATAAGTTTTGACACATCTACTACTCTCTGTCAAATAGGCACTGGTTTGAACCAACTCAATTCATGTACATAAAAAACTATCATTATCAATAACTTTATCTCATTTAATTTCTGCAGACTATATCTGCCAGAATGTCAGAATGAAGAAATTAAGTATATTGAATCAGGGGAATACTTTTTTTGTTTCTTCATGCAGTGAAGTTCCACATGTCCATGATCATCTAGTCATTTTTGTTAATAGACTCAAAACCCTTCAATCTTCGTTTAACATCAGATAAAATCTATACAGGACAGAACTAAACGATATTAAGAGCTAGCTGAATTAGCACCTGGTCAACTGATGAGCTATCCAGCCAAAATGTATCTTCAGCGCTATGATGGCCAAAAAGCACTGAAAAAATGTTTTCAGAGCCACCTATGCGATTGAGGAAGTTATCAATCTTTTTCCATTGCAACCGTAAGCATTTGTCCCCACTGCTTCGCTTTGGAAGAGCACAAGGCCCAACAGAATCCCAAAGTTTCAACCTTGCAGAATGTAACAAGTCATTTGCAACAAAGTTCTTGAGATCTGGAGAACTGATCTGCAGTACAATAAGAAAGTCAATAAGGTGGAGTCTAAAGGAGATGCGTGGAAAATACTTGTTCACATATAGTACTTGTAGTCTTCAAAAAATTTAGTACTTGGGATCTTTCCAGTTTACCAATACTGTGAACCTTTCTTTCCTGAAGCAATGGTGTCTGTAATCCAAAGTCAGTTGTTATCTTCTTGAAGTTTTGAAATATCTGTCTTCCATAATGAGTAGCAACACTCTCGGGGTGAAACTGAATTTGACGGTAATCAAATATAAGAATAGTGAAAAAAAGAAATAAAAAACATTGCAGAGATATAGACAGTATACCTGCACTCCATAGTGAGGCCTGGTAGAGTGCCTAACGCCCATGAGAACCCTGTAGCCATCTAACTCACTTGCATCGTTTATGCTGGGCATTTTTCCATCAGTGGTACTGCACTCTGACTGGTTTGTTACGAATAAGTTATCCAATGATCCCCACAAGGTACTGCTAGTTATATCAGGCTTATCGCTTTCAAGGAATGAGAGCATTTTTGGAGAAGCAGTCCATGCTATTGATATAAGATCCTCAGATAGAGAGTCTGGTTCTATTACAAGTGAGTGATAGCGCACTACCTGAAAAATAACAACTGTAAGTAGAGTGTTCTTTGCGGTGCATATAGAGGCTGAAACCCCAATAATATGGCTAGCAACATGAGTGGTACACTAACCTTGAATCCAGAGTTTATACCTGATGGGATGTGATTAAAGAGGTAGCATCCATTGTGTTCAAGTTCACTGACATAAAAAAAAGGGGTATCAAAATCAAGACATGTGTTAACTACTTAACTGAAAGAACACCTAGAACTTAGAAGATTATGCATGACACACACTAATCCATAGCAATTGCACAAGATAAAAAATAAATGCTGTACAGGTCAGAAAGCTGAAAGTATTAAGCATGTAATAGAGTTCAAGGCCTTACCTAAGCCGGCCATGTATAGCTTCAGGAGCATGGACGATTTTAGCACCATGGACAAATCCCAGGGCCTGCAGTGGTAAAACAAAACGGCCATTTCAGTTCAACCTACCACCAAATTGTCCATGAATTTTCCATTTTACAGGACTGATCATGAGTTCACAAGGATTAACACAAAAAAGGAATCGACCTGGTGGCCAAGGCAGACACCCAGGATGGGTATATCTCCACACTCGCAAAGTATCCGCAGGCCTATACCTGCATAGATACAAACGTAGAAATGGTGAACAAGCACAAGCAGCAATTTCTAATTCTGATTCCACACGATTGAACTGAAGTGGAGATGCTCACCTATGTCGCTAGGGCAGGCCGGAGATCCCGGGCCAGGCGAGATGACGATGTTGTCGAAGGCCCTCTCCTTGTACACCCACCTGTACACGTCCCTCCACGTCCACTCGTCGTTGCGCACCACCACCGGCGGCACTGGGAAAAAAAACACCGGCCATGGAAACGTTGAGCAAAAGCAGTGACAATCACAAGCCATGGTTTCACGAGAGGGAAGGCGAGGCGGAGGCTCACCGCCGTTGACGACGGAGAGCTCCTGGAAGATGTTGTAGGTGTAGCTGTCGTAGTTGTCGATCAGGAGCGTCCTCACCGGCGGCGGCGGGACCGCCCCGCCCCCGCCCCCGCCCCCGCCCGCGCCCCGCGGCGCCGCAACCCGACGGCGGTGGGAAGAATGGAGCCACGGCGCGGGGGCGCGGGGCGGCGGCGGGGTGGGGAGGCGGAGGGCGGCCATCGTTCTCCACACCGGCGTGGCGCGCGCGCGGCCGTGCGGTGGATCAGGGCGGGGAGGGGAGAAAAGGCGGCGGGTATTTTTTGGGGCGGTGGTTGGTTTGGTGGGGGGGAATGGTTATAAAAGGGTGAGAATCTGGGTTTGCGCTTTTTTGGCGACCGCACCTCCTATCGTCTTGGCGGCTGTGCCATCACTGCCGTCGCCGTCTCCCTCTCCAGAGAGAACGACAGCGTTGCCACTGACATATGGGCTATGAAGGTGGGACTCACCTATAAGAGCAAGGGCAATAGTATAGCCAATTAATAGTTCTAATTCATTTATAGTCAATCTAATAGCTCATTCATATAATAGTTACATACTGCACTATTAATACCCGGTCCCACTTATCATACACACAGTGCGTCTTGGAATCCGTGCTACAGCTGGCTACAAATCTACAATAGCAGACTATAAGCCAGTTGCAAATATATTTTAAGAAGATAAATAAGAAGAGAGAAGAGCAGCGTGCTACAGATTTGTAGCTAGCTGTAGCACAGACTACAAGACGCAGTGTATATATGACAGGTGGGACCAGATATTAATAGTGTATTACTGTGTAATTATTGTATGGACGAGCTATTAGATTGGCTATAAATGAATTGAAGCTAGTAGTTGGCTATACCATTAAACTTGCTCTAAGGAATCCACACTAACTTTACGTTAGAGGAGCTCGCTCCCCAAAGATGCTACTTCCTCCTCCCTCAAGTTCATTTAGAATTGTTTTATTTTCTACTCCATCCGTTTCAAAATATAATTCTTTTTAGACCTGACACGGTCTACTAGATGCTACTTTGACCAATAATATGTCAATATCTATAAAAGTAAGATGTTTTAAATGAAAAAAAGTTATATATATTATAATAATTTGTTTAATGATAAACATAGTAACATTAATTTTATATGATTGATCTTTTTATTTTTTTATTAATGGTCAAAGTTAAAAATATTTGACTTGCTACTGTACTAAAAATTGCTTATATTTTAGGACGTAGGGAGTACCATTTATTTTAAAACAAGTTTATTTTTATTGTAATTACTGTATTGGAGTTTATAAAAATATAGAATAATTATATTGGGAGTATATAAAATATAAAAATAGTTGTATTGGGATATGATATAACTGAGGTATTCTAATTCATTTTGTGTTTATTGGCATGTGTGATATTGTGAGATGGCTGACAAATGAATTTATTTCAGGATGGGGTTAGTAACTTCTATATGTATGAAATACAGTTTGAAATGTGTGCTAATGAAAATCAAGGTAAAATCTATATCTTAATTAGAACAAAAGGGGATCTTAGGTCATCATTTTTTTTTCAGTATGAATTTTTAATTCATTTTCCATTCAATCAAACTATTTTTTGTACTCGATCTGGTTGTAAATATTTGAGTATTTGACATTCAGAACTGTATTTTGTAGAACTCTAACTATCTAAGTTTATTACTATGATACTATAATTGTACTTCTCAAAACAAATCTAATAAGCATCAAATATTTATGAGACCATAGAAATGGCCAAAGCACAGGATTTCAATCTCCACCAACCCAAATACCCAATCTTCACCAACCCTACAGCATTTTGGTCCCTTCCAAGCTGAAAGCCTGCAACTTGGACAAGCCATTTCGATTGGAGTAAGACATAAGGAAATCTTGATTAGGGGAATCTCTGAACGTAGACAGGAAACCTTCCAGATTCAGGCGCAGTGGATAAACTTTACTCCATTTGACAATTTTAGAGCATCAGAGGTGTTTTAGCAGCTTCTATTCTCTGACGGCTTTGCAGGCGTCATATGGACATGATGGCTAACAAATTTCATCTCATAATCATTTCTCCCTGTTTGGTTTTTTTCTCTTCTTTTGCCTTTCAGAGGATTAAGATGAAAGAACAGAACAGAAAATACTACTACTCCATTAACTGGGGGTGATAACCTCATCATTTTTATAGCTGGAGAACTGGACAAAGATTATCTGATCCCCATAGCAACATGCCACTCTACAGGCATCTCTACCCTTTACATGATTAAAGTGCAGAAATGAAAAAGAGAGAAGCACATTTGCTTCTCTTTAGGAGGGGGAGAGTGAGGCCCCAAAAATGTCCATGGGAGGACTTTTATCATTTTCTACCTCTCTTTCTCTGAGGCTTGTTGAAGAAGAGAAGCCTGGCTAACATACTTCCCCTGCAAAGAACCAAAAACATAGACAAATACATAAGAAACTTTAGAGAGATGGGGAATAAAACTTGTGGAAATTGATTTGGAACAGTTATCAATTTTGCCTTTGCATAAGTTGTTTGCATAGGAATGAGTTCTTAGAACTTGCCTTGACCCGAGGCCGACATTCAGCATTCACCTTCCGCGATTGATACCGGGTCTTATTGGAGAGGAGGGGAGTGCACTGCTTCTGCTTGTGCCGCAATTTCAGCATGCTTCCTTCCCGGATAACACCGCTTGTATTATTATCTAAAAATAGATCAATGTCTGCAAGTTTAGCCTGCGATGAAGAATGTTAAAGTTTGTCAGTAACAGCAGATTTTTTTTTTTTTTTTTTGTAAAGGGTGAAACAGCAGTTTTCTTTAACGTGACAGTGCATGTTCATCAAAATTGGTACTTCCTCCGTTTCATATTATAAGACTTTCTAGCATTGCGCACATTCATATATATGTTAATGAATCTAGACGTATATGCATGCTTAGATTCATTAAACATCTATATGAATATGGGCAATACTAGAAAGTCTTATAACCTGAAACGGAGGTAATAGTAATTAGCAGTCAGACCAAAAGTTGATTTCACATAATCACTCCCCCATGATAGAATAAAAAAAACTTGATTTTCTGTTCTGGCATCTCCTTGTTCTAAATATTTTCAGAGTGGTTAGTACTAATTGTAATAACCCATTAGTTGAAGAAGGATTTACTTCAGACATAGACAAACAAAGGAGCCATATAACACTTATCGTGCTGAAGTTTTCTGTTCTTCTTATAGTTCTTCTTATAGGCTTTGAAAATTCCCTCTATAAATGAGACCATTATCAAGTTTCATGTTGTGCTTTTCATATACCATCTTGAGAATTTCCACATCATTACAATTATCAAGGATAAGTTTATATTTTCACATAAAAATAGGATGATTGGAATTGTGGATAATATGTTTTCCTTTTACATTTATATAGCAGAAATTTGAACGAACAAAATCTACGTATGGTCCCCTTCTCCTAAAGAAGTGTATTGACACAAAATTATGGTACACATGAGGATAACATAATAGAACTGCTGGCTTGATTCAAAAGAAAATAATAGTCCCAGAAGAAGAGAGTAATACTAACCAAATCATAAATGGTTTTTCAAGCACTTGTACAACATATGCCACACAAAAGCCTAAAGTTTTTATATGCCAAGCAGTATGAAACATAATTCTGAACTAAGGTATAATACAAGTATACAACACTTCAAAATTTCTTCTTATCATCTTAAAAGAGATTTAAGTCAAATGAGCTAGAAATACTTACATGCAAATCAGAGGAGGATCTTGGTGATTCAAGTGCATCGCAGCCAGCGAAAACAGAACCACTGTTACACCAAGCCTTCAGCACCTCTTCAGTGTTCAGATTCAGGCCCAATCCTATCTTTGGGTCCTTCAGCGCCGAAATTCCAGCATCACCATGATCAAAGCCCAGAGTTCCCTCATCACCAAACTTACATTCACCAACAGCAATGGCATTATCCCTTTCTATTTCCTTCAGTGACTTCTTCTTACTCTTCTTCTTCTTCTTATCTGAAGCCTGCAATGGCATCGGCACTGGCACCGGCATAGCCACCGATGGCGCAGGAGGCGCCGCGATTTCCTTCACTGGTATGGCAGGGCACATCCACCAATCACTCTCATCGTCATGCCGCTTCAGTGCTTGGCCGGCGTTGAGCCGGCCTTGCCGGAACCCGAGACCGAGCACCATGAGGCTTCTAATGTATGGATGTATGGCGGCGCTGGACAGGACGGCGTCGGCGCGGGACGCGGCTGCGGAGTTCTTCTCCATGCTGAGTTTGCCCATGATTCTATCGATGCCCTCGGCCACGCCGTCATCGACGGCGAGGAAAGAGTCGGCGTCGAATCCGTCTTCGTCTTCGAAATCAAGCTCCCCGAGGTAGTCGTCGTCGGTGACGTCGGCGTCGGCGTCGGGCGTTCCGGGCGACGGCGCCGCGTCGCGGAACTCCCTGAACACGCTGCTTACGGGCGCCGGCGACGAACAGCTCTTGATGGGGGCGGGGCACCGCGGCGTCGGCGGCGGCGGCGTGTCGCGGAGGAGGTGCGCGGCGCTGCCGTTCCCGAGGACGGGGAACGGCGGGAGGAGATCGGAGGAGGAGGGGTCGTCGGCGAGCGCGGTGGCGAGGCCGAGCAGCCGCGGCGGCGCCGTCCCGGCGCCCTTGATGACGGGGAACACGGAGGGGTACATGGACGCGAGCAGCGCCGCCGCCTCGTTGTACGTCTGGTTGGGCCGCTTCCGCGGCGTGCGCGCCCGCTTCAGCGACAGCGACGCCACCGACGACGACGACGAGTTCGACGCCTCCGACAGCGTCGACGACGCCGACGAGTGCGCCGCCGCCGACGAGCCACCGGGCGGCGCCGCCGCCTTTACCATCTCCAGGTCCAGCCGGAGGCCGGTGGGGATGCACGACGACGCCATCGGCGCGCCACCAAGATCGCAACCTTTTCCCCCCTCCAAACAAACAACAAGAAAAGAAAAAAGAAAATCGCTACTTGGGCGGATCAAATCAGAAAACACACCACTCCAACATCACGAGAAAAAGCAAGAAAAAGCACAAGAAATCAAAGAGATTCTAAACCCCCAAAACCCCCCACAAATATCCCACAAAACCAGCGGAAGAGATGAAAGGAAAGGTAAAAAAAAGAAAAACAAAAGAAAAGAAATGCCAAAGCGCGCGTGGAAACCGAGGAATTTCTTGTAGAGAAAGACACTGGCCGCTCTGTCTCCCCCTGCTTCTACCTAGAAGCCGGAGAAAAAAAGAAGAGTATATAAATATAAATTAAAAACGAAATCTTGGGAAAAAGCGATTAATTAAGGAGCCCTGCAAGCAACAGTGCGCTCATCAAAGAAGCATCAACAACAACACCAACACCAACCAGTTCACCACTACCAACCTCGAGGAATGGGCAAACTCAAAAAGTATAATTAACAACAAAGCCCACGCTTCGCCATTTGCTTTTGTTGGAGGATTCAGTTTCGTCAGGCTTTCTGCCCAAGAACAAACACGAGGAGCACAAAAAGGAAACTCCACTGGCAAAGCTGTAATCCTTTTTTTTTTTGTATTCTTGGAAGAAATCAAGAGCAGCTCACGGACACCACCAGGCATACAGGTCGATAATCGATCGATCGGCCGGCGGAGAAAGCAGGGCAAAAAAACTGGTTACAAATTTACAACTGGGATCCTCAACCGAAAAAACTCTGGAGACAGCAGGGCCGATAAAAATCTCCTAACCATTGGATCCTAAATTTTCAAGATTCAGCAACCACACAATAAACCGTATGACAACAGAATTACACAAAAACTGGAGAGGTTTAAGGAGTGGAGTAGAATCGAGAGGGTTTAGAGTCCATCAGAGAAAGAAGAGGCAGCCAATGTCTCTGAAGACATTAACACCATTAGTGCCATAGGAAGGGACAAACTTCTCTTTCAGTTGTCACTATCACACACCTTACCTCCCTGTGGACCCCACCTCCTCTCACGACATTTCTCCTCTTCTTCTTCCCTCTACCATTCTAGACTGACTGTGTTTAGTTCAACGCAAAATTTAAAATTTGATTAAATTTAGAGTCGATGTAACTAAAAAGTTGTGTGTATGAAATGTTTGATGTGATAGAAAGTTAAAAGTTTAGAAAAAATTTAGAACTAAACACACCCACAGCCCTATTCTACCCTCACACCTCATGCGTAGTGTAGTTAGCATCACCCCTACATACATGTGTTCTTCTGGTCCAAAGCTATGAGATACACGTGTGAGACTTTGCACACTGCGTCTGCGAGTCTGGCTGGCTCTCACGGTCACACGTAGTACGTGTGACTGACCTAGTACACCATCCCACGGCCAATGCGGCTCTCACTTGCTTTGCCCGTACTGCTGCTAACAGGGGAGGATGGAAAGGCACGTACTCCCTCCTTCCGTCCCATAAAAAACTAACCTTATATTAAATATGACATATTCTAGTACTATAAATTTAACATATATATGTCTAGATTTATCGTACTATAGTACGTCACATCTAATTATAAATTCGTTTTTATGAGACGAATGAAGTAGTAGTTAGCTCAAGCAATCGGCTCTATCCAAACGCATAGTTGTAAACGAAAAATAATATATAAATAAAATTTTTATATATATATTTTTATAACAATCTAAAAGGTAAAAGCTGAAAAATAAATTATGATAAAAAAAACTTCAAAATTTAAAATTTAGCTTATAAGTATAAATATAAGCGGAAAGATAGAATGAATGTCTCATCGCAGAGTGGAAAGGTGAAGATTACCTTCGTTCAATAATATGGACATATTTAAAAGATTTTAGTTTAGATTAAAATTAAGTAGAAAAGATTGTAGTTCTTCTATAACTTCTTAAATAAGTAGGAAAATGTGGTCGATCGAGGATAATGGAGAGAGAAATCAAACGAGGGGTGGTCAATAGTACAGTACTCCAGTACTCCATAATTTTTTATATTTTAATATAAATTTTAAATGATAGACTATTTGTATTCTGAAAAACAGAGTTGTAAACTGTGGTTTGCAGAATTGCATTGTAGCATGACTAGGACGCTCCATTTAGATTAGATTAGTAGCACTACTCCTACTGACACTGATAGGTTTACTGATTAATCATGTTATGGTAGTTGGCTAGTTGCCTGGGGTCTTCTTCTCCTCCCCTGATGGGCTCATGGTGTCACCATTCAATTAACCACAAGTACTGGGCAAATGATCATGGAAACAATCATGAACACAACACAACAACACAACAGAACAGAAGGTACTCGTTTCTTCCATTGAATATTCTTTCCACCAGCCAGCGGCTGAGATAGCACGCCGGCTGCTGCCGAGATTAACAAATTCAGGCAGGAGGAACCAACGAATCTGAATGATCCATCAGTCCACATACTTTGGAGGTGACGTTTTTTGTCACAATCGCGTAGCCACCATGGCGCTCAATATTTTTCAGATACCATCAATCCTGAGAATATTTTTTCTGCCATAATTAGGCCTTTGGTCTTCTGCAACCCATGTCCTAATGACTTCCTTGCCAAATCATCATAACAGTATACCACAGGGTTAGCAGCACATAGAAAGCAGTTAGTCCCAAATATCACCCCCACAGCAACCTCCTAAACCTTATAAACAAGTCAAGCGGTCAAGCCTTTTGTGAAAACATGATGTACAGATTCACAGTTAGTACAGTTTCTAGTGGAAGTCAAATTGCACAACTTTTTTTCTGAATACCACCAAATTGTACAGCATTCATAATTGTTATTCCAATGGTACTCCATTGACCCAGGTATCTGTACATTTGACACCCATTAAACCTTTTCCAGAAGTATGAATATCATTGATTTCAGCTTAGGTCAGTTTGTATTAGCAGGTAGTATTTCCTTTTCTTGATAGGTCAGCTTAGGTCAGTTTAAGATGCACTTGATATTGCAGTGACAAGGGGTATGCGGTTTTAATTCGAGGTTTCGTGTTTAATCTCTAACACGCTCATAATTTTTTTAAAAAAAATATTTGGAGGGACGTTTCTCACTCAAATCTCGTTTATTTTTCATGATTTGCTGGCAGATTCCTTACCCCGATGACAGATGCCAAATCCATTATTTACTATATAATCTCCAGGGAAGCAGATTTGAGGCCGATTGACTAAGTGGTATTATTTCTTAATTAACTTCAATCATGTTCTTACCACACGCTAAATCTAGCCTTAAAATAGCCAGGTCTCTTCAAGGCCCTCTAGGAATCCTAAACAAGAAAATTTATACTATAAAGGAGCATTTATTAGGCTAGACTGTATCAGCACTAACCTGCCACCAATGGCTAACAGCTAGCTTATCATCCACTAATAAAGTTTATTGATTATTTTCTCTTCATAGGCTTATTACAAGGCAATTCGTAATGTCCTATGATGAAAAGGAATTCCATGATAACTAGAAAGCAATGACCCAATTCAGGGAAGTTTTCCCTTGATGATTGTAACGGTGGCAAAACTTTTTTTATTTTAGAATTGGCACAGTGAACATCAGAGAATGAGAGTGGAGCTAGGTGAAGTGCTCTCACAAAAATAAATTAGAGATGTGGAGTTGGGTATGAGTTAGAGATGTGAACTGCCATGGTGTTCGACTAATTGCGTGACCGAAGCAGAGGGGATGTGCGGACCGCTCACGCCGAAGCGAGTGGGGGCATTGCAGATTTCCAAAAGTAAATTTCATAAAGCTACAGTTAATTTAACCAGACTATTGTAAAACTATAAATTTAAATTGGTATATCACAAGCTACATATTTAATACATAATTTATCACGAAACTATAGATTTAAGATAAAGTGGTATAAAACTACATATTTAGTAACAAAATTATCATAAAACTATAGCATTTATATATTAAAAATAACATTAATGCTAGGAGTTTAAACTCTAATATAATGTAGTTTTGTGATAATATCAATATTAAATCTATAGTTTTATAATACTTGATATTAAATCTATCGTCTTATGAAAAAAAAAAGATGCTAAATTTGCAATTTTATGATAGTTTGGTCAAAGTACATATAGTTTTGTGAAAGGGATTATCTAAAAAAATGTCGCAAGTTTTTTCTTTATAAAACTTTTAAAATATAACTATATTGTAACTACACTGTAACTCATATGTAACTTATATGTGACTAGAATACAACTATCATAAAAAAAAAATTGGCGTGGTGGTAGCACACTTCCTCAATGAACTAAGGGCGTAAGGTAAAACCGTCGACAGTAATATAGCAAAATTCCGTTTGTGAAATTTAGTTTTCCCAATCCCTTCTTTCTATAAAGTGGCCAAAAGCTCAAACCTCGTGCTTCCACATCATCATCAAATTGTGAATCGTTTGATGAATACATTAGATCACTTCTTAGACGTTGGATGGAATGCAGCATAGAGCCCAACCCATTAGTCACCGGGTGAGTCTCTTCGCCTCATCAGTGCCAAATATAGCTCACATGAACACATTGGCTCATTTCTATACACATCTACATGTATCCAGCCTGTCAATCCGTATAAAAGAGCTTTATGGCTGAACGCCCCTTCAGTTGACATGTGCTACTTAAATATCTACAAATTTTGGATAGGGCTGCTAAAAAGAATTTCTCCAAAAAAAACTATTTGTTTTTTCATGAGATGGTAACTCCTATCTAATAAATTGATGTTAACTAAGTCCGCAGCAATGCGCGGAGCATCCTCTAGTATATAAGAATATACTAAGCGGGCCAGGAGTGTACAAGAATACTCCTGGGCCAATTCTTGGGCCGACATTCTCACCAAAGTGGACCGTTTGGATTATTTGGCCCGGCCGCTCTCCGACAATTCTTTCCCCAATTATTCCATTCTCTCTCCTCCATCTTCCGGTTGCCTCGCTATCCTCTCCACCTCTCCCACCACCACCCAAGCAGCCAAGGCGGAGGAGGGGAGCCGGCCGGCGACGCGCGCGCCACCATCCCAGCGACGATGCCGCAGCTGAGCCTGACCACCAACGTGCCCGTCGACGCCGTCGTCGCCGCCGACATCATCAAGGACTGCTCCAAGGCGCTCGCCAGGATCATCGGCAAGCCCGAATCCGTACGCGCCCCCCACCTGCTCGGCGGAATGCCGCGGCCGTTCTCTGCTCTGCTCCTCCTGCCTTCCTTCTGCTGATGCCGCGGCCTCCGTGGCTTTTTCCTTGTATGGCCCCGCAGTACGTCATGGTGTCGATCAGCGGGTCGGTGCCCATGTCGTTCGCCGCCAGCGAGGAGCCGGCGGCCTACGGCGAGCTCATGTCCATTGGCGGCATCGGCCCCGGCGTCAACGGAAAGCTGAGCGCCGCTCTCGCCGAGATCCTCGAGACCAAGCTCTCCGTCAGCAGGTCTAGGTTCTACGTCAAATTTGACGATGTCAAGGTTGCAATCTTTCTTCAGCTCACTTCTTGTTTCCCCATTTTTCCTCTTCTAACTTCTCCTTCCACTCGAGCTTAAGTTCTAATACTGACACAGTGATGACTGATGACACTGCTTCTAGTCAATTTTTCCTTAATCCCGTTGCGACTGCTTGCTGCTGTGGTCTGAACAACATTTTGCTCCACTGCATTTTAACTTCATTTTTGTTCTTACAGGGATTCAATTTGGGGTTCAATGGGTCGACATTCTGAGGCCAAGTCCGTCAAAAGTTGGATTGCTGCGTCGAATCAATAAAATTCTAAGGCTAAATGTTACATGTCATGTGTATCATTCCGTTGCACTTTCGACATCATCCATGAATGTGTTTCGTTTATGTGAGAGACCGAACTTTGCCTGCTTTATTTCAATCAAAAATAGCATCGAAGTCTGTTTGCTGAAAACTCAGTCCTTAATTGCCGTACTAAACAAAATGCAGAGTTCCAGGTAGTTGAGATAGTCTTTAAAACAAACAAAGGTAGCTGAGGTGTCTTAGCAGTTTCCAGAATACATCAGTTGCAAACTGCAGGGAGCTTTATACCAGAGTATCAGTATAGAGTATACTAGACAGTTTGGACAGGAATACCATGCAAACTGCAGATCTACTGCTCTTTGAAAGGAACACATGTTAAGCTGCAAACCGCCCTAAAACCAAGCATGTCTCAGCAAGTCAGCATAGCAAATATATGTGTAAACGTGGCCACTTGAAAGTTGACACTTCATAGTGTAATATAAGAGCATCTAACATTACAAGCCTTGATAATACCGAATTCTGCTTCACGTACTCATACAACACATTAGTCCATATACTACAAGTAGAGGTCCACAGGAAGAACAACTCCAGAATGCTGTCTTATTCGCACATATTTACATAAGAGGTCACCTGGGCGACATCGCCATAGCTTAAGCTTGATAGGCGCGACAATCGCGAATAAGATTTATACAAAAAACCAACATGTGAAGATCTTAGTGTAGCACGTTGCCTTCACATGTTCGTTCTTGCCTGTCACATATTCACTCCTGCAACAACCTCTGGGTGATAGTGGAGCATCTCCTGCCACATCATCTCCCGGATCATATCCACGCCAAGATTTTCATCGATGTCGAGATCGATGGGCACTTGAGCAGGAGGGTTTGCGCTTGGATCATACAGTGGAGACATGTAAGGGTGCTCCAGAGCTTCAGTGACACTAATCCTTTTGGAGGGATCAAAGACGAGCATCTTCTGCAACAGATCAATGGCAAGAGGATGTGCTTGCGGGTACATACTGGTGAGGGGGATGCCAGGAGTGTATGGAAGGGTCTTGATATACTTGCGGGCCTTTGGGTTGTCAATGAACTCAATGTCAGCTTCACTCATGGTGCCGAGAACGTTGACTATGAGCTTGAGCTGATTGAGGCACTCAGTTCCTGGAAATATTGGCTTGCGGCCAAGAAGCTCAGCAAAGATGCAGCCAACAGACCAGACATCTATGGAGGTTCCGTAATTGTCGCAGCAGAGCAGCAGCTCAGGAGCCCTATACCACCGGGTCACGACATATTCAGTCATAAACTGGCCTTTAGTGTTGTTTGTGCGAGCCAAACCAAAGTCGCAGATCTTCAGATCGCAGTTTGCATTAACCAGGAGGTTCCCTGGTTTCAGGTCTCGATGGAGTATCCCTGCTGAATGGAGGTACTTCAGACCTCGGAGTAGCTACAACAATCAACCCAAAAGAAAAACTTAATAGATGTAAAAGAATAGGAAGAAAATGTAAATGTAAAAGAATAGGCAGAAAATGTAAAACACTTAATAGGAAAAAGTATGTCAGAAATTGCAACGTGAATAGGCAGAAAATGTAAAAATTCTCATAATAGCAAGGTAAAAGAATTTAAAAGGCAGATTGACTAGGAAGCTTTTGGCCTACAAGAAAGTCTAACTTCACTTCACACGCAAAAGCTTGCCTTAAAGAGTGCACATAAGAAGTTTAAATGCCAACCTCATGCAAATCTCCTTGCACACATATAGTAGAGCATTGAATTGATTTCAGAATATTATTTCAGTATTCCTAAGCAAAAGCACCATATAGAAGCAGTACCAGAAGCTTCTATCAGGCATATTGAAGCTGACTACTATTTTGCTCACACTTCACAATCATTATACTACATAATACATCTTGTCAGGTAGTTTCTAATCAATATCAAACAATTTAGTGTCATTATGACCTCTCATAATTTCTGATTTCAAAGCTATGGTCCAGGTTAGCATTGGTTTCCTGAGGATATCTAGTCCCTAGTTCCCAGATTCTGACTAGTGGAGTTCTATCCTAAAACCGTAAGTGCATCGCATCAATTGCTGTTCCTTGTCTTCCTTTTTTTCTAATGGCACAGTAGAACAATAGCTTCAAATGCTGCATTATCCGATTCAGGCCTAAGTTCAGGGGTGAATTATTTCAGAAACAAATGTAGATAAATGCTGACTCGTCCCAAATGCTGTGAATTTCCCCAGATATGAAAACTAGTAGCTAGTTAATGAATCCATTGGAAAGCATTAGATTATGGCCAAAACACTATAACAAGCACTAAATATTATCATGAATATTCGACCTAAAAGCCAGAGTGTACCAACAGCTGTACTAAAAAAAAGGGATATGGCTCACTTGTATCTTTATCTGATAATAGAAGAAATGAAACTAGGCAGCAACAGCAACATGCCAGCAGCTGCAATAGGTAATGACAACCTACTGGACTAATAGATGGATTTGAACCATCAAAACAGGCTCATTTTCACTTCTCAGGAGCAAGAAGTACATCACATTCATCAATATCATACGTCATGGTGGAACCGCTGCTTATAACATTTCTTTTGGAACAATTAATAAATGAAATATTATGTGAACAGGAAGTAAACAAGAATAAAAATGGAAACAATGGTATGAGCCTTACCTGAAAAAGGAAATATTGACAGTGGTCATTAGAAAGAGGTTGAGATGATTTAATTATCTGGTGTAGATCTGTGTCCATGAGTTCATAAACCAAGTATACATCTTTGAAACTCCTTCTGTGTACTGGCATCATTATATCTTTCAAGGCAATAACATTTTCATGGCGCAAGTGTCGCAGTAGTTTCAGCTCCCTTAGGGTCCTCAGTGCATCCACACGGTTGTCAAAGACATTGTTGATCTTCTTTATTGCAACTTTTTCGTTGGTTGCACGGTTTATAGAGGAGCAAACTATTCCATAAGCCCCTCTTCCGATGGGCTTGATTGGCACATACTTGGTGTCAATCTCAAATAGCGTTTGCCACATTGTGTAGTAATGCTTCCCTTGGTTTCCCATGCCATTAGGAGGGTCCACCATCATCGCCATCTTGTACTAAGGAAAATAAACATTTAGATAACTCAGTAGAAGATAATTTGTCAAAATCAGGAAGGGGAGAAAATGCAGATTATATATATTCTTATCGAAACCGCATAAAAGAGATGGTTCTATGCTTGCTGTTTACAGCCACATACTTCTATCCTTGCTTCCTAGAGCAAGACAAGATCTCATGGCATCTGAAACACCTAAGGGCACCCACAATGGTTATCTATAAGCTCTCTACAAGAGATCCATGTCAGCATATTTTCCTACTTGGAAGAGATTAAATGAAGAGAGAGAGCAAAGCTATCTACTAACATGGAGATAGTCTATAGAGAAAAACGAGGCAATGGATTAGAGAGCTATAGATACCCATGTAGACATACCATTGAAGTGGTTTACTATTAATCTAGTCTATTGTTGAGGTGTACATGTTTTATAGATAGCACCTTACTTTACCATTGCGGGTGCTCTAAGAGCAGAGTTTGTAAATAGGAACAATTCATCATTTACATTGGATATGATCAAATCTACTTTGGATATTGCAGACAATAACTGTAATATTCAATGCTTTCAGACAGTGACACCTATGATTCGTTTCCATATCAAATCCCATCCCAACTATACTTATGTTCTCCTGTTCTATTCCCAAGAACAGAGGAAGTAATAAAACAAAGTTAATCCTCTAGCCACATCAGCTGATTTAGAAGTATTAAATTGTTAGCGGTATGCTCGTAATCCTGCATAATCCTTCCCAATTAACACGACAATTATGAAGTGTGTACATAACCAAGCCTCACTAATTGGAGTATTTCAAGCAAGTTGCATGCTGCTACCTTGAATTCCAATCCAACCGAGGAAAGAAATTCCAGAGCAGCAGGTGAGGGGGGTGGTGTCAATTCGTGGCGAAATTGAGTTGAATTCGGCACCTGCTGCAGATCACGTCTGACGCACAGCTAGCCCGAAAATTCAGATCGAGTACGGTAGTACGGAAATGGAACCCCTCCCCAACGGCCTCCAATAACCACCCCCTCCCCCCATCCGCATTGATTGCGCGCGCAAATCCCACCCGGGGAAGCGTAGAAACGGGACAGAGCCTCCCCCTCCCCCTCCCCCTACGACGCCGACGCCGACGGATCGAATCGGCTCGCCGCGAAAAGCACACCCACCCACCTCGCCGACGCGGCGTCGTGACAGAAGTACTGGAGGAGGAGGTGAGGCGGCGAGGAATTTATCCCACTTACATGAACGGGGAGGAGGCGAGGCGCGCGTCGGGGAGAGCACGCCACGCGCTACGCCTCTCGCCAGTACATGCAGCGTCGAATCGAAGGCGGCAGCTATAGCTCCCGCTCGAGCGAGCGCGGCGGCGGCGGGCGGCGCGGATCTGGAGGCGGAAGCCGGCGGGGAGGGGAGGCGAGAGCACCGCCCACCTATTTTGAAGAGAGAGAGAGAGAGAGAGAGAGGAGGAGGAGGAGGAGGAGGACGAGAGAAGGGAAGGGGGTGGAATGGGAAATGGAGGTGGAGGGGAAGAGGAAGAGGAGAACACGCGGCACTTAGATGTCACCGCGCGAGAGGAGGGAGCGACCACCGCACGGACTCCCCCACTTGCCACTCTCGCCGTCGCCGCGGCCTATGTACTCTCCTACTACTAGCAATAGTGGAGTAGGAGTAGGATTATATATATCCACATCCACATCATCGCTTGATTTAATTGTCCACTTTCCCGTGCGCCGAATTCGGAAAAGTCGTCTAGATCGTCTCCGCCTCCAGCTAGCGACTCCGTCTTCTTCTGCCGCAGCCGCCGCCCGCGCCTCTTGGCTTCTTCCTCCGGCGAGCTACCGGCCTCCTGTTCCGTTCCCGTTAATTTTTTCCTAAGCCGCGAGGATTAGAGCAAATTAAATTTAATAGTATAGCCCACTACTAACTCCAATTCATTTATAGCCAATCTAACAGCCAATTCTTACGATAATTGTTTACTATACTTTTAGTATATGGCCCCACATGTCATACATACATTGTGTCTTAAAGTCTGTATTTTTCTCTCATCTTTTATCTTATTATAAAATATGTTTGTACCTGGCTAATAGTCTGTTATTGTACCTGCTCTTATATATATGCGTGAAAAACACGGTTTCTCCAACAACTTTATAGAACAAATTAGTATAAACCTAATTTGTTGTTAGGTTTATAATGTATGTATACTAAGGGAGTGTTTGAGGAGAAGGGGATTGAGGAGATTGGGAAGATACGCAAAACGAGGTGAGCCATTAGCTCATGATTAATTAAGTATTAACTATTTTAAATTCCAAAAATGAATTAATATGATTTTTTAAAGCAACTTTCCTATTGAAATTTTTTGTAAAAAACGCACCGTTTAGTAGTTTGAAAAGCGTGCGCGCGGAAAACGAGAGCCAATCTCCCCTATCACCCCTAAACGAACGATGCCTAATTCCTAATTCGTACCGTAAATGTTAATCGTTTCGTTCACGGCTCACCTGATTCAATTTGCGTTGCGTCATTGTTAGGGAGCTAGTCAGATATCGAAACGTACGACGATCGAGCGAAGAGTATATATGTGGTGATGGCGGCGGCGTCGACCGGCGATGATGACGGCGAGACGAGAGAGTATGCATGCCATGCATGTATGCAATGCATCCAAGGGACGTTTTGCTCGATTTGGCAGGCGGTTACGCCGCTTTTTCGATGATCTAGTTAATGTCCAACAAGTATATTAAGGAAACACACCACTTAGTGCTGCATGGTGCATGCATTGCATCAGCCGTACCGTACGTATGGGTGATGTGACGAAGCTAAGTACGGAGTACTGTTAATGGCAAATTGGCACTGGATCACATCGGAGTGAACGTGCAGAGTTGGGCAGCTTCGAACCGATGACAGCTTTGCCGTTGCTATTCCTTCTTAGGCTATCTCCAACGATGAAACCCAAAATACAAGACCCATTTCACGTTTGTATAGCACTACAGTCAAAGAGTTTAATACTTTTTTTTTGTCTTCTCCAACAATAAGACCTAAAAGAGAACCCTTACTGCAAATAGGTCTTCAGGAGAGAGGATACTCAGATTTAGGTTATGCCTCTTATAACACGCAAAATGGGTCTTCTGTATAGGTACTCTGTTGGAGGCTGAAATAGTACTATCGGAGACTCATTTTGGGTTTGGGTGCCCTTATGGGTCACTTGTTGGAGACAGTCTTAGCTACTAGCTTCAGTAGTACTACTGTTTTATTAGCTGTACTGCTAGGTAACCCTCCATTCCAAAATATAAGACATAACCATCCCTAACCTAAAGATCAAGAAAATAATTATTATCATCTTGTAGTTTGGATCATCCTAATAAATACAATGCATGCATCCAATAGAATTAGAGAACATGAGAGTGGAGAATTTTAAAAAGTAATAATTTAATGGAAAATTGGTCATAGTTAATTGCCTACATGCATGCATACCTTGTACTCACTCCGTGCTCGTAAAGGAAGTCGTTTAGGACAATGTTTAAGTCAAACATTGGGAATATAAATCATGAATAACTCTCAAATTATTGAGTTTGAAAATGTAAAAATTATATGAATAGAATTTTCTTGAAAAATACTTTCACAAAAGTATATATATATATATATATATATATATCACTTTTCAATAAATATTTTTATAGAAACAACAAGTCAAAGTTGTGTTTTGGAGACCGTGTCGTTGTCCTAAACAACTTCCTTTACAAGTACGGAGGGAGTACTATTGAACATCTAAAAAAATGATTGTGCCTTATATTATGGAATGGAGGGAGTACTTAGGGCAGTCCCAACCCATAGTGTCCATAAGTAGTGTCTATGGTGCCATGTCAATAAGACATCATAATAGAAACTACACTCTACAATCCATGGTTTCTTAAAGTGGGCCATTAATAAATATATCATCTCTCTTCTCTACCAATCATATTTATTCTTCATCTATTATGAAGACACTATTCTCTCCCAATGCAAAACTTGATAGTGTCTAGTGTATAGGTTCTCGTGTTGAAGCTGTGTCTTGCATGAGACCTAGTTTCTTCCTCTCTTCACACTCTCTCTTAATTAATATAGTGTCACATAAGCTAAAAGTCCTACATGGCAATATAGTTAATGCCATATACACCATCCTAAGTGGAGGGTTGGGATTGCCCTTATTGTTTGCCCATTATTCCTTAATAAGCCAAAACAATTTTGTTAGACTTTGCTCTAGGATCACCTAGGTTAGATCTAGTCGGGTGGTTCTATTTGGGTTTGATGAACGACATTGTAGATGAAAGGGAGAGGGTTTAGATACCGACCGGTTGAGGAGTTCGTGGAGGAAGAGGCGCCGGACATCGTCGTTGTCGTCGCGGCTTGACGTGGATGCGGCGCCGGTGAGGTCGACGGTGATGACGGCTGCGGCAGTGGTGGTCGTAGACGTCCCGGCGATGAGGCGTGGCGCGGCGGTGGCGTTTCCCGTCACTGGCTGCGCCCCCTCTCGATCGGATTAGGGTTTTGTGGGGTGGAGTTGGCGGCGGCGGTGAATCTCGTACCATGTGCCGTGCCGGCCTCCACCCCTCTTTTATATGGCGCAGTGTGACGGGGGCCCACCAGCCATTGGGCTGGGCGCCCCCGATCAGGGCGCGGTCAAGGCCCCCTTGAGCCGTTGGGCTCAAGGGGAGAGATATCTATCTAACATTCTCCCCCTTGATCTCACTTTTTCTTTTAGCTTTTTCTATTCCATCACAGATTTGTAAATAGAGCATGTTTCATCGTCACGGTCAATCGCCGATGGATTCGACAGCCACTATACACATCTCTATTCAGAAACAGATACTTTACTTTTGGGCCCTGTAGTCCAGGATTCATAAGGCTTCCCTTAAACCCATGCCGGCTACATGTTCCTTGAACACGTTGGGTGGTAGGCCTTTCGTGAGCGGATCCGCGAGCATCCTTTCTGTTTTAATGTGCTCGAGACTGATTGTTTGATCCCGGACTTTGTCCTTCACAACATAGTACTTTATGTCAATGTGTTTGGCAGCACCACTTGACTGATTGTTGTGAGCGTACATTACTGCGGGTTCGTTGTCGCAGTATAACTTTAGTGGTTTCTCAATACTGTCAACCACCTTTAAACCGGGTATGAACTTCTTTAGCCAGTTCACCTGCCCCGTTGCCTCATAGCATGCTATAAACTCGGCATACATAGTAGACCCTGCAGTGATAGTCTGTTTTGAGCTTTTCCATGAAATAGCTCCTCCTGCCAGGGTAAACACGTATCCCGATGTTGACTTTGTATTATCTTTTGCAAAGTCAGAATCTGAGTACCCCACTATCTGGAGTGATTCTGATCTTCTGTAAGACAGCATGAGGCCTTTTGTTCCTTGCAAATAACGCAAGACTTTCTTTACCAATTTCCAGTGCTCTAGGCCTGGATTACTCTGAAATCTGCCAAGTAACCCGGTAACAAATGCCAAGTCAGGTCGTGTGCACACTTGCGCGTACTGTAGGCTTCCTACAGCTGACGCATATGGCTTTGTTTTCATTTCATTGAGCTCATACTGATTTCTGGGACATTGCGATGCCCCATACTTTTCGCCTTTCATTATAGGAGCAGGTGTAGCACTGCATCTGTACATGTTGAATTTCTTCAACACCTTTTCTATATATGTCTTTTGAGAAAGTCCCAATGCATACTTTGTTCTATCTCGGTGAATCTCTATGCCCAAAACATATGAAGCCTCACCGAGGTCTTTCATGTCAAAGTTTGAGGACAAGAATTTCTTTGTTTCCTGCAGTAGACTGACATCACTACTAGCCAGTAGAATGTCATCCACATACAGAATTAGGAAAATAAATCTCCCATTCTTAAACTTTGAATAAATACAGTTGTCCTCGACATTCTCTTGAAACCCAAATTTCTTTATTGTCCCATCAAACTTCAAGTACCACTGTCTCGAAGCTTGCTTTAATCCATAAATGGATCTCTTTAGACGACATCCCATATTTTCGTTTCCTTTCATGACAAAACCTTTCGGTTGCGCCATGTATACTTTTTCCTCCAAATCTCCATTTAGAAATGCCGTTTTTACATCCATCTGATGTAATTCCAAATCATAATGTGCCACTAGTGCCATTATAATCCTGAAGGAATCTTTACAAGAGACTGGAGAAAATGTCTCATTGTAATCAATCCCTTCTCGTTGCGTGAAGCCTTTTGCCACAAGTCGCGCTTTAAACTTTTCTATATTCCCTCTGGAGTCATATTTGGTTTTGTAGACCCATTTACAGCCTACTGTTTTGGCTCCTTTAGGAATTTCTTCTAAATCCCAAACATCGTTTAGTTTCATTGATTTCATTTCATCTTTCATGGCTTCCAACCATTCAGATGAGCGAGCGCTTCTCATGGCCTCTTCATATGAGGTGGGATCATCCTCCATATGCGACTCTTCTATATTATAAACTTTATAGTCATCACGGATAGCCGATCTTCTGACTCTTTCAGACCTTCTAGGGGCCTGCACATTTGGCACATCCTGTACCTGAGGCTCTTGATGAGTCTCCTGTACTGGCACATTATCTATTTGAGGCTGTTGTAGCTCCTCCTCTGGTGTGGCAACCATT